TTATTATTATTATTATTATTATTATTATTATTATTATTATTATTATTATTATTACTTTTTTTTAGTGGAGGTACTGGGGATTGAACCCAGGACCTTGTGCATGCTAAGCATGCACTCTACCACTGAGCTATACTCTCCCCCAAAAGTTTAATTTTAAATAACGTAAAACAAGGCTGCTGCTTTGAGTCTCTCCCTGCTTTAGCTTCAACTTAATTTGGAGAAACTTAATACATATTCTGCCACAGAAATGCTATGATATGTGCATACTTCCGTTCTAATCACATCATGAGAAACCAGAAGCTGTTTAAGAAATAGCTGAACCTATTGGCAAATTAGTGCCAGAAATTATGTCAAAATCAAAATTGTTGTTCCTAGGAAACAACTTTCAACATTAAAATGAAAGATTTTTATAAATTTCTATTCAAAAGGGTCTTATGTTCTGTTACTCAAAGATACATAATCCGCTATGTATAGCATCTCAACATCAGGCATTCTGCAGGAGTCTTAGTAAGGCTTCACTATGGCTGAAGTAACCAACTGGTACTATCTGCCTTCAAATTCCAGTCCAAAATTACCTTTGCCATAGAATTCTTTGAGGTCTCAACCAAACTCCTGTCTAAGCATTTCAGCAGAGCCAAAGAGTTTCAGCAAATCACATCGCAGTCGACCAGCTCTTCTACACCCAGGTCCTTCTAGATATGGACTGACAGCCTCCCCCGGCAAAAACACTTATCAAGCTCCAGAATTTTCAAAAGTGGATTATCAATTTGCAACCTACATGCCTAGTTCCTAAAGGACATAAATCCTTTAATCAATAAAGAATAACCACACTTGGAGAGTTTTCTAGAAATTCAGTCCTAATTTGCCTGCTTTCCAGATCCTGCAAATCACCAAAGGGAGATATTTAATACAGTCATTCCTATAAGTTCTCCAAGTTCTCACCTTGCAACAGACTAAAGAACTAGAAAAAAAGGACTAAGATCATTTTCTACCAAGGTGGCTTTATAAAATTTGACATCGTTACATACCTTCGGTCTTTACTCAATTTTAAAATACAAAAAGCCATACAAAGACTTTCTGCATGTACCACGCAGCCACTGCCTGCTGTGTTCCTCAACATCTCTTATGTGAAAGTAGAATGATAAGTTTACTTAAAAATTTAGAAGTGGGGAAAAAGCTGTCATCCAAACATTTACTTGCTTCATTGTCAGAGAAAAAGAATCTTAAAACCTATCAGTTTTTTTCTTGCTTGCTTTGTCTCGCTTAATGTCTGAAATCTAAATTTATACAAAAACACAAACAGAAATTTTATTCCAGGTTCCTAGCAGAATTACTTCTCTATTGCCTTGATCTAACTTTAATTTTTACTTTCCGACCTTTATTACAAGCTACAGGAAATATTTTTTCAGAACTATTTAAGTCATGTATTTAGTTATAAATAAGTAAACAAGTAACATCGCGGGCAGCACCATGTAATAGAGAGACTAACCATCACACCCAGAGTGAAAAGACCAGGGTTCTAACACCAGCTCCACTAGTGCCAAGTCATGGGATCTTGGGCAACTTTCTTAATCTAAACCTTGGTTTCCCTTGAAAATAAAATGAATAAAAAATTATCAGTCATGG